CGTGTTTGATTCTACGATGAACGTTGAATTAGTCGAGTTGAAGTTAGTTAAATGTACAATAAAGTGGATCGACTGAAATAGTAAAATGAAGAAAGAAATGGCCCATAGGGAACGCCTGCTGGAGTGATGCAGCATTGGGGGGCAGCACGGAAACCGGCCGCTGCCAGGTCACCTCAGCTGGGCCAGGTCAGGTATACATACCACTAAACACTACTTTACGTGCATCTACTCTACCTACGGCCTGACCGAGCCCTTGGGGCGGTCTTAGATTCGGATCCAGGTACGTACCGTTTATTTTCCTAGCCTTCTCCCTATTGTGTAGTATGATAGGTAATTTTTCCATAAGGTCATTTGTGCCCGGACCCTCGGCTGCCCGTCGAGGAGGCTACTATGGGCCCTAGCCAAGGTAAACTTTACAGGGGCAGCTGTGGGCCATAAAAATCTCCTTCAATTTAACGCATGTCTCTTATGCGTATTTCTAAGGTTACGTGTTGACCTTGAATCGAATAATAATTAGACGACCCCAGTTTGATTCTCATCGGCACCGTAGAAATTTAAATTGGAATTTTTGAATTGGAGTTTTAATTTACCACGTGCTCGGCAGTTAAGGTAAACATCGTGAGGAAATCTACGTCTGAGAATTTAAAAGTAAATATTTTCAAGGTCACCTGAAGGCCATCAACATGTATTTAGGCGGAAAGCTTCATACTCCTGTTATAAGCGGAGGCCGTTCACAGCAGCCTGTGCCCAGTAGTGAGATAGATATGGTATCGGTTGCCGACGATACGGCTCTATTTGTATCAGATTATAACAAGAATAGTCTCAATTTAAAACTTCAAACAGCTACAAATCACTTAAGCGAATGGTTCCGCCAATGGAGAATTGAAGTGAATCCCGAAAAAAGTATAGCAATATACTTTCAACGGATTTCAAAACCACACTCAAAGAATTGTGGACAAAGAACCAGTGTGGCGGCGCTGTCGTCGCGCCACAAGCGAAACACATCGAAGCCTAAATCGCACTAACAAAGTTCCGAAGTTAAAGCAGCATATATAGAATAGCTCCGAACTACCAATCTGAGCGTTGGCCGCTGCCCGGGTAGAACACCTTGTCCGCCGGGAGATCTCCCCATTTTCCTTCCACCCGCCACAGTGGTGACCACCCGACGTGATACGAACACGCAACCAACAACCTTCGGAAACTACAATTTTAAAACCTTCGTCATCGTCCTCAATTAACCCATTCATTCGCTCCCGAGCAGATACTGTCTGCAATCTTCACATTCTGCAAGTGATGTAGCAGCCAGACTAATCAACCTTAAACAGTTATAAATAATGTTAACCTGCTGCTACTATAACGCAAAAGGTGAAGGTCTAAAGAAAACATTTATTTCCTAACTACCCCCGGCTACTGAGATACTGCGGGCTGCATATCGATGCGAGATAATTTGACGTATATATATTTAACGTTCTAATATAGAAACAAGAAGCAGCCACAAATATCATCAGCACCGCATCCTCTTTATACGCCAGGTATCTTCACGCATCCGTCGACCATTTTCGAGCCGTTTCTTCAACGCCACAGCTTTGCTTCTTCTTGCTGTTCCGGAGATGTGTCCCACGCCGCCGCCGCTCGCCGATCACGCGCGCGCGCCGGTCTGCATCACTTTTATAGCTCCGTCCAGCAACGCAGCTATGAGAAGCGATCCACGAGTCTAACGCCGGCAAATGGAGCACGACACATAATAGTTGTACATAATATTTTTATTAATCTTTATTGGTTAAAATGTATGAATTGTAATTGGCTAAGTTAATAATAAATTATTACTATTGGTAAACTAATGACGTAGCCGGGCATATAAATATAGTCACTCGGAGTCTGTTAATAGTGGACACCATACACCACTATTACATTGGTGACCCTGTTACAAACACCGATAAGGAAGATCCCTGCAAGAATAGTACATGGTAGAGCCATGCTGCAGCTATAATATGGTTGTAGCACGAATGGATCGGCTCGACCGGGGAAGGACCACGCTCTTACAGAAAACCAGCGTAAAATTGCAGCTTAACGCTGCTGTGTTTCGTATGGTGAGTGTAGAGAACCGGAGTTCCTTTTTACTGGCAAAGAGGCATTCCATCTTAGTCCTCATGGGTGTATCTTGAGTCTTTATTGAGATAGATGTGGATGTCTATGGGTCGCAGTAGCTACTTACCATCAGGTGGAATGTGTGCTCGTTTGTCACCTGATCCTATAAAACAAATAGTAGGAAAAATATCGAGGAAGACTTCAGTATATAAAATCAGTGTAATCAATACGTCATTATGGAGCGAGAAGCGAAGAAATCCGACGCATATACATCAAAACCGGCCAAGGAACAAGAAATCGCCAGTATATCTCTATCGCTGACAATACCACCGTTTTGGAGAGATAAACCCCGACTTTGATTCGTCAGTTTTGAAGCCGCGACGAATGATTTAAAGAAGAATCAAGCGCAACTAGCTCAGATGTTGATCGCCCAACTTGAAAAACAAGACATCGAACAAAGGAGATGTATGAAATTGGGTTCTTAACATCGTTCGTAACAGTTATACAAAAATATGTAGGTAATATAAAGATAAATTATAAGCATAATTAAATGCTTTTTATTTCTGTAGTGTATGGGACAACTATCAAAACATTTTTCAAAGCTAAAAAATAAAAACTAATGCTTTTACCATAGCAAAAAAAAACGTTTTTACATATTCTTATGTATTTTGTCTATGGCATTAGATAATGAAGGCTATTAGGCTTCAGTATCAAAAAAACTCGTAATATGAAACGTTGAGGCGAATCTTTAGGGATTAATACTGAATAAAAGAAATCTTTTTAGAAAATCGATTGAATAGGCTACGTTATTAAACTAAACAAAATATTTTAATAATATCGGACACAATTGAATAGGCTGTATGGTCGTTTATCATTGCGTGTTTCGAAGAAGACTTGGTAACTTCGAGTTTAAACTTGTCATACGCATTTGGCATTGTGGTTTTGTTTGTAGATATATTTAGTATTTTTATTTTCATGAATTAATTTAACTTGACCCTTGGCTTTTCTCTTGATTTACAGGACAGTAGATTGTGGCGCCCAAATAATGACAATAATGTGTTACTTGGGTTTTGAGAGGAATAGAACAGACAATATACAGCCTCAGGCTGCTTCTCGAGATGACATTTTATTAATAATTGCAGAAAATAATTAAACAATCAAAAATTTTGAGTTGTATCTTATTTAATAATAACTAAAAAACTGCATCCTTTTGTGTCCACTCAATTTATTGAAACAACTTATTCCAAGAACGAGTGATTTTACTACATAACCTACAAATAATAAACCATAATAAAAACAAAACCCCAGGTCTCACAAAAATATGATTCTTTGTCGTAAGTAGCAAATGTTTAAATCTTTAAAATAAAATATACTCGTATTTAAACTTTGTTCACGCCTGGCCCAAGCTTGTATGGAATCAAGTTCATCTCCTTTCGGACCTGTTGTACAAACCACGGGCAAGCGACCAGTATAATTCGCTGAAGGATCGTCTGATCTCTGCATATGAAGAATCCGACAGTCGCCAGCTACAGAAACTTCCATCACAAATAGAACTTGGAGACCAGAAGCCCACACAACTCCTACGCAGAATGCGTACTTTGGCGCGAGATAAAGTCCCAGATTCGACGCTATGGCTAATGTGGGTAAACCACCACATGTTCGATCGGTACTAGCAGTGAGTGAAACATTCAGCACGCAGACGAAGCTCACACATATCGATGATCGAAGACACTTCAACCAAGGCGAGTTTCTTCTCGAAGAATTTCGGAAGTTATCATTCGAAGTCGCCGTGCTCAAGTCATCCCAGCATCAAACCTGTTACCAGCAACGGTATAATCAGCGCAATCAGCAACACCGAAGATCACCTTTTTCTCGTAACCGCTCTACAAGTAGAAGTCGAACAAGCTCAAGAACAAGATCCCCTTACTGCTACTATCATCGATGTTTCGGGTCCGAGGCAAGAAAATGCACAATACCGTGTACATTCAAAAATGAAAATATGAAGTCGGAAAACTAACTAATACGCTTGATGCGACGGGATCCGGCGTAACAGAAAAGTCCTACCGTCTTTTCGTCACCGATAAAATAGCAAGCTTATCTTCCTTATCGACACTGGTGCGAATATCTCAATTTTACCGCCGTCACAAAGACAGAAGATGTAGCCACTGGATTTTCAACTCTACGCAGCAAACAATACGGTGATTCCTACATATGGAGAAAAAACAATGGAACTAGATTTAAACCTACACCGGCCATTCAAGTGGAGATTTATCGTCGCTAAAGTCAGCAAACCCATCATCGGTGCTGATTTTCTTCAACATCACCAGTTGATCGTCGACATCAAAAATAGAAGAATCATCGACGGGTAAACCAATCTTACATCTCAGTTTTTCGTCCAAGTAATCAATCTGCCCACAATAAAAAGCATAGATGTTCAACAATCGTATCACAAGATCCTTGACGAATATCCTGGAATCACAAGAATAACTTCAATGAAATTAACACCGAAGCACGACGTTGAACATTTAATCGAAACCAATGGACCACCACTTCATTGCCTTGCACGTCCAATCGCACCACACCGATAAGAGCAAGTTCGAAAGGAATTCGAAAACATGATCGAGCAAGGAATATGCCGTCCAAGCAAAATCCCTTGGTCATCACCACTTCACGTTGTACCGAAGAAGAATGGAGAATTACGAGTTTGTGGAGATTACAGAAGACTGAATTCTATTACCACTCCTGACCGCCACCCAATACCGCGAGTCAAGAATTTCACTCATCAACTGTCAGACAAGACTATATTCTCCACCATAGATCTCAATCGAGCTTACCAACAAATAAAAGTACGCGATGAAGACATAGAGAAGACAGCAATAATTACCCCAATGGGATTATTCGAATTTCCAAGAATGACCCCAGGACTGAAGAACGCTGGTCAAACCTTTCAAAGATTCATACACGAAGTACTTCATGGACTGTATTTCGTTTTCGCATTCATTGATGATCTCCTTGTTGCAAGCCCTGATAAAGAAACGCACGAAACCCATCTACGAACCGTGCTACAACGATTAGAAGACAATGGAATCTCAATCAACCCTTCGAAATGCATATGTGGACAAAAAGAAGTTCAATTTCTTGGTTTCACCGTCAGCAAGGAAGGAATCAAACCGCCTACTGAAAAAGTCAGAGTCATCATCGATTATGCGAAACCTAATACAATTGAAGAACTAACGCCATTTCTTGGGATGGTTAATTTTTACAGAGAACACATACCTAAAGCCGCTGAAATCCAAGCACCACTTCAAGCTTACCTACACAACACGAAGAAAAAAGATAAAATGTTAATCGGATGGAACGATGAAGCCACGAAGGCATTTGAAGCTTGTAAAGCTGCGATTCAAAATGCAGCTTTGCTCGCTCACCCATCACACGAAGCAACCCTTGCTATCTTCAGCGACGCATCCAAACTCTCAGTAGGAGCTGTACTCCAACAATACATTAATGGGAAATGGCAACAACTTGGCTATTTTTCGAAGAAATTCGACCATTCGACCGAGAGCTACTCGCTATCTACATGGCTATCAAGCACTTCAGAAAAACGTTCGAGGGTCGAAACCTGATCGTTTTTACCGACCACAAGCCATTAACATATGTACTTCAGAAGAACCCATCACCATCGGAAACACCACGACGAGCAAGACAACTCATTTTCATAAGTGAATTCACGACCGACATACGTCACATCAGTGGGAAGGACAACATAGTCGCCGACGCACTCAGTCGCATACCAATCGACAGTGTAACGTGCCCTACATCAATCGACTATCAAAAGATCGCAGAAGCACAAGACAGAGATAGCGACTACATCAAACATCTATCGAAGCAAAGTAACTTGTCCATCAAGCAAGTTACAATGCCAATGACGCACCTACCTATCTACTGTGAAGCTTCAACATCAACCATGCGACCATACCTACCAGAAGAATGTCGTCGCGAAGTCTTCAATGCACTGCACAACATCAGTTATCCAGGTGTTAGAGCAACTAGAAAAGTCATCACTGGAAAATTCTTTTGGCCTTCAATACGAATACGAGTGGATGTTGGCAACTGGGCGAAGCAATGCATTCAATTTCAAAAATGCAAAGTACAAAGGCATACATCCAGCAGCCTAGATTAATTTCCACCTACGGAAAGATTCGAACACCTGCACGTTGACATCGTTGGACCATTACCTACTTCACCGCAAGGACATCGTTACCTCGTAACAATGATCGACAGAACAACAAGATGGCCAGAAGCAATACCTACCGATGATACTTCAGCTGAATCCGTCGCGAAGATAATTTATGAAAATTGGATTACTCGTTTCGGATCACCCAAAACCATCACAACAAATCAAGGAAGAAACTTCGAAAGCAACCTTTTCCTCAAATTTCTTCAAACTATGAGAATACAGAAGACACGTACAACGGCATACCATCCTCAGTCGAACGGAATAGTCGAACGATGGCATCGTACATTGAAGACCGCACTCAAAACTCGTTTATCTCAACATACAAAGTGGATTGATGAGCTAACTACAGTGTTATTTAGACTACGAGCAACACCGCGTGCAGACACTAGTCTTAGTGCCGCTCAGCTAACCTACGGCTGCAGCATAAGACTACCGTGTGACTTCTTCACTTTAACATCGTCAAACAATCAAGAAATGAATTACGATTTTGTAACTCAACTTCGAGAATCAATCAACAAAGTCTTATAGTCAAAACGTACATCATCACACGGAAATGATAAATCAGTATTCATTCATCAAGATTTGAAAACATGAAAGCAAGTTTTTGTAAGAAACGACGCAGTGAAGAAACAATTTCAACCTACCTACGATGGACCGTATAAAGTATTAGAGCGAAATAGTAAGACTTTTAAATTACAAATACCCGGAAGGAAATCTACAATTATATCGATCGACCGACTAAAGCCTGCCTATATTATTAACGAGGATGCTTCAGAGGATTCACCATCATCATCATCATCATCATCATCTCAACCACCAGCGAGGCAGCTTGAAAACCCATCATCTACATCAACCCAGATGAAACCTATTTTCAAAACTACGAGACATGGGCGAGTCGTCAAGCCTCCGGTACGCTTTCGCTAGGGGGAGAGTGATGTAGCAGCCAGGCTAATCAACCCTAAACCATTATAAATAATGTTACCCTGCTGCTACTATAACAGCACAAACATCACGATAATAGTAAGACAAATCGATTCTAATGTATAGCTCAGGGAGTAAGCACTGACCACAGGTTTCATAATACGTAAGTTTGTACCCTACCAGTACTACTAAGTATAATTAAAAATTAAAAATGTTGTACAGCCGACTTCAATATAAGTTATTAAGAATAACTTAAAAACTATTGGTCTGACCTTGATCAAATTCATATGGGACTGCACGAGATGTATCAGCTTTCATATAAAAAAAGAATCATCGAAATCGGTTCACCCATTAAAAAGTTATGAAGTAACACACATAAAAAAGAAAAACAAAAAAAAAATAGAATCGAATTGAGTACCCTCTCCTTTTTTGGACTCGGCAGAAAATAGAGTAACGGCCTATGTACGTCTCACTGCTAGAAACAGGCAGCACAGTGCTGACTTATGACAAGCGATAAAACATAATATCGTATGTAAACCTTCATGTCTGCAAAGCAGAATCTTTTCAACTTTAATACTCTTATACTAAAACAAATATTACTAAAACACTTACCAAATATCAATGTGGCATTTTACATATATATGTGTGTATGTACAATGCCTCCGATCTCCTCCAGGCAAACCTTGGTGAACGAGATCATTTTCATTTCAGCATATATAGAAATGTATCCAAAATAAGTCGTATTAAAAAATCAGAAATTTAAATACAGAATACCTTTTATAATCCACTGTGTGTAGCAGACGGAAACGATTGCGCTCTCAATATTCATTGATCCTCTCGTATCAATGAGGGCATTCAATTACTCGTGATTAAACAACAGTAAAGAGCTATCTCCAACTGAAAGTTTTTCGGTAGACAATATTGTTTATTTAACAATTCAATTGACTTTAAAACTTCTTCGATTTGATGAAACTATCAAATCCATATAGGAAGACCGACCACTCAGTGAGCAGGTTTTGCACCAGCCACATGGTCATTAAATCATTTTTCATCACTGTCATTATTTCAACCCATCAAATTTACACATAAACATGACGATGATGATAATAAAGACTTCCGCTACAAAATAGATTACAGTTCAACTGCGTTTTTGGACTTTATGATAGTTTTACTGGTCAGAGATTTCATATAGTGGTAAAAGGGACTAGGACTCCTTTCCTGCCCGAGAGTACTATAGGTACTAACCTACTGCCAAATAGCATTATCCGAAATAGCAATACAGCCAACAGCTTGCAATGCTGTGTTTGGGTCTAATGGGTATAGAGATCCAATATTAATAATAGACTGTAAGGTATTCCATCTTTGTCCTCATAGACAGCAACACATCTGAAGACTTCCTTACTTAAATATCTTTACCATAAGGTGCACTCGTTTTGCAACTAAAGTTCGTTTGTCACTTTAGTTATAAAACTGCCATATGGCGTTTTAAACGCTTGCAGGCATAAAATTCGTCCGAAACCACATATAGCAAATTTTAAAAGTTGACACACACTGTGTCAAACTGTCGTAAAGCTCTTAGTGCATCAGTTAGCCGTGGTTAACATTCCCCATCAATGACACTCACAGAAAAGTCATGGCGAAGTCAAGCCAAACCATTGCATACAATGCGTCGTCAAATTATGGATCAAAATAGCGAGTGATATGCGAGCTTATTTCCCAACGCCACTGCGATGTCCCTTAACCTCGACATTTTTAACAACCACGTCATGCCCCTGCATCATTATCAGCCTGCGGCAATCCACTGCCTCTCCCAAGGCGCGCCCCTTAGGCCGATCTTCGACTTCACGCATGCAATTGCTGCCAGCTGCCTTGCACAGCTCGTCCCACACTACGTTTGCCTAAACGCGGTCTCCACTCTATTACATCACGTGTAAAGCCGCCTGAGGCGAAGTCTGCATATTCCGATTGGATGGCGTTTAGATAATTCATCAGTAAAATCATTAATCCCAAAATAAAGATGTGATGTTTAGAAACATACTGATCATCCGGGTCTGATTAAACTGCAAAAGCCTTTAAAGATAAGTTTTTTTTTTTTTATAGGATATGGGTGACAAACGAGCACACAGTCTACCCGATGGTAAGTGGTTCCTGCGGTCCAAAGAGATCTACATCTATCCTCTATTACAAATCAAAATGTAGATGTGTTGTCACCCGTGAGGACTAAGATGGAATACCTCAATTCCAGTAAAAAGGGCCTAAAGTGCACAAATATCAGCAAAAATCGATTATACTCTTTAAAGAGCCACGTTGCAGGTATATTATGGTTGTAGCACGAATGGGTTGGCTCGATCGGTTTAGGACTACGCTCTCATATAATACCAGCATAAAATAGCAGCTTAATACTGCTGTGTTTCGTATTATGAGTGTAGAGACGACCCGGTTACACTTTTTATTAAAAATCAGACATGAAGAAGAATGGTTCTTCTTAGAATTTATCTTCTCGTCTTATCTTACACACACACACACATATATATATATATATATATATATATATATATATATATATATATATATATATATATATATATATATAAAATATATATATAAATTTGAATATAAGAATATATATATATATATATATTCTTGTTATCTCCGGAACCATAAGGCCTAGAGATTTGAAATTTGGGAAGAATATTTATTTCGCTGAGTAGAGGTCAGCTAAGAACGGATTTTCCAATATTTCAGGACGAAATTGCGAGGACGTTAATTTAAATAAATCACATTTCTAAACTATAGCTCTTATAGGTATAAAATTTGGCCAGAACATTCTTTTAGGCATCTGAAAAATTACTATGAACGGATTTTATGAAATTTCAACCACAAAGGCGAGTGCGGGGGCGTTAAAAGTAAAATTAAAAATAGCTCCTACAGGTTTAAAATTTGGCGAAATTTTTATTTTTGTCATCTAGAATTCAACTGAGATCGAATTTTACGAAATTCCATTAAAAAATTTTGTTATGAATGTAAAAAAAATATTAATTTTAGCTCGTATTAAGTTAGTAACTAATATTAGTCTCACTAAACTCGAAAACGGCTCGAACGATTTTGAATAAATTATTTGTGTACGTTTGCGTGGGTCCCTGGATGGTTTAGGTTCACAATTGGACCCTGTACATGGCGCTGTTGTCAAGATCCAGAAATCACCCATGCGAACTTGAACCTGAGACCTCATGATCAGACCTGATGACCTTTATCGACCACTAGACAACAAGACAATAAAATAGAAGGCCATTACAAGACATAGGTATTTTTATATTATGTTCATTATATTACCAACTGAATGTGGGAATGGACGCTAGAACTGGTTTTGTCTTTATTTAGTTATAATTTCCAAAAAAAAAATAACGATTCAACGATTCCACGATAACATCAGAAAAGCTTACTATCAATAAAAAAGCATTCAGA